TCTCCTCTCCTCTCCTCTCCTCTCCTCTCCCTCTTTCCCCGCCTTTCTCTGTCTTTATCTCCCTCCCTCTGTCTCTATCTCTCTCTCCTCACCCCCAGTGTGTGTGTGTGTGTGTGTGTGTGTGTGTGTGTGTGTGTGTGTGTGTGTGTATGTGTGCTTTAAGCACTTTGGTAGTAGGTTGTTTCAGATGAAAGTCAACCATGATCTTGATCAAGGTTCCTCAAATGTAACAAGCTGCTCTCCTTCTGCTTTCAAGATTCTTCTTGTCTTCAGACAGTTCGATTCCTTTTCTCTGTGAAGTTCATTTTGAGCTCACCCTGAGGACTGCTGGTTGATCTTCTTGGATTTATGGATTCATGTCTTTCATCGGTAACATGCTATTTTCAGCCTGCATCCTTTGAAATCTTCTTTCTTCCCCCTTGTCACTTCCATCTCCCTCTAGGATTCCCATGATGCCTAAGTCTAAGTTAATCTCCCTGAAGATACTCAATAACTCAGTGTTTTTTTTTAATCCCATTCTTTCTGTTCCTCAGCCTGGATAACTTACATTATTCTAGTATGAGTTCACTGATTCGTTATCCTGAAGACCAAAATCTACTGTTGAGCCCCTTCAATGAATTCTTAACTTTTACTATTAATGAAAAGCCCCTTCTTATCCCTCCACCAGACCTTAGGAAGTCTATTATATGGTTAAGCTGTCATCTTTGATCTTACTCTTCTTGAAAGTGGTTAGTTTGGCTCTCAGTGACCCTCAGCGATTACCAATGTGTTTTTGGACCAGGTTTTTCATTAGGCAAAACAGAAATGGCAGTCCCTTAGGTAGTCCCTAAGCCTGGTTAGAGTAAACATACAAAATCATTTGCTAACATGTTAGTCTTCTTTTTCAAGAAAAAGACATTAGGTTCACACAGAGGGAATATGGGTACACTGCTATGCCTCAAAGCCTTCACATGGACTTGAAATTACCTTTGTTTTGATTTGGCATTCATTTGTTTGCTATAAACCTTTGATTGTTGTTCCAAGTTGTAACAAAGTTGGTTCTGGTAGTGTTTTCTGAATGTCTTCCTATGGGAGCAGTGAGAGCTGATTTTCTGATGTCATCCCCACTGATCATCTCAGAGAGGTTTACAAGAATTCCCAAACTCTAACACGGCTAGGGAACCTTTGAGAGCATATAGACAATCTTGTAGTTTGTAATCCTTCCCAGAAAATTAGGGACTCCATGGAATTTCCCTGATGGCCCCCAAATGTTTTAGAGTCTACACCACCCATCTTTCCTAGCTTCATTTAGAAACACTTAGGCTTTTGTTTTAAATGCTTATTAAATGGCAGGCTTTCACTTGACTCGAGATTTTGCAGCTTTAAATTTTGGGTAGGTGTTGCTGCATATCGTGTGCTTAGTAGAGCTTAGCAAAAGATGTGGATTCCTTACACAAAGCCAGTCAGTTTTGAGCAGCTCAGCTCAGTAGCTGGATTGAGATACATGGACACATCTGACCGGGTCCTGAGATCTTTGGTTTTACTTACTATTCATGTAACATGTAGGGAAAGGCAAGGGGAGGAGATTTCTGTGAGAATTCTCATTGCTTTTCTGTTATGAAAAGCAAATGACCCCTTCAATACCACTCCAGCTGGTGCAGACTGAAAGCTGTAGAGGGCGACTGGTCAGTCAGCTGTCGTTGCTGTGGGTGCCTCTTGAGAGACTCGCTTCCCTCTTCACTGTCATCCCAGCAATTAGAAAATTGTGTTTTTATCATCACACATAGTTCCCTCTCCTCTATGATGAGATCAGTAAAATGCTTTTCCTCATCTTGCTTTATTCTAAGCCCCATTTATTCATGACTACCAGCTCTGAATATGGAAGAATATTGAATGGTGGCAGTGAAATGCTTTTCTATTTTTTTTTTTTTTTTTTTTTACATTTTGTAAAGCGAGAAAGAGGAACTTAAGTAAGGAACAAGACATTGGTGCCCAGGGAGGACATGGGATTTCATACATGCTGTTTAGACCTGATGAGAAACTGTGATGGTGGAACATTTTCTTTGTAAAGCAAATGGCAGCATTTTTGCTGCTATTTGAATAAACTGTAGCTATTGAAGAGACTGTTCTGCTATGTTGTAGCTAGCTTCTCAGAGCCATAAGACTGTCTGTCATAGTAATTAAGTAATTTATAATTCTTCACATCATCACAATGAATTAAATACTTTTGGTTCAATTATACTATATACATGTATGTATTTATTATATGTTATTGACATATAATTATGCACCATATTTGATATGTTTAACTATTATAGATGATTATTGTTAACTGATTATACAAAAGTTAGGAAAAGATGATATCTTCACTCAGAAGCAGTGATTTTCTGTACAAATGATATTGTGTCTAAGTAGGAAACACTCAGCCTGGAGTTTTCTTGCAGACTGGTGTACTGACATGATTGTGATACCTCCAGCTGGCTTTTTCACACTGAATGACAATTACATACATGTCCCCATGATACTTGATGCTCACAGAGCATAAAGAAAAAGGAAAACAGTGATCTCAGGTCCACGAGGGAAGGCTATAACCACAGAAAAAGTAAGCAAACAGAATCCCAGCCAAATGAAGAGAGGACGGCTAAAATGAAGAAACATCAAATTGAAAATAGCCTCGATGTCAAGGGAAACCTGAATTCACTGGGTGACTGAAAAATGAAATGGAAGAAAACAATCCCTTCTTGGAATTTATGACATCCAAATAGGGCTTCATGATTCATCTTAGCTGTCATTTGCAGGAATTCTCCTTTACTTCTCTTTCCATTGTCAGTCTGTCTTACATCTCCTCACTGTTTTCTTAGGACTCTGTGTCCTCTCTACTGGATATATGATAATTATATGTCATTTACCCCTTGGAGAAAGGAGTTATAATCTATTCATTATGGGAATCGGCAATTAGCAGGTTATTAGTAAATGGATAATGTATAAAAAGTGCTTTTAAAAGAATTAATAATGTGTAATATAAGGTTTTATTCAACTATAACTTCATAATAAAAATGTTTGTGTTTATTGAAGAAGTGAGACTTGACTTGGAAACAGGAGGTCATCTATTAGGCCATGCCTAATCTGGTGTGTAATTCTAAAAAACAAACAAACAAACAAACAAACCACTTAAGTGCTTCAACTCTTGGCAGCTCAGTTTCCTAACTAACAGACTCACGATTCCCTGTTGTCCGACTGAGTAGGAATGTCATTCTGTGTCCTCGCATGGCTCCTGGGCCTTGGGCTGGCTAGTAGTAACTAGGAAATGACAGACCCGTAGACAAAAAACTCTGATGGAGAAGCCACAGCACTATAGAAGTCAAAGGCAGCATCTTTATTATACAGGGTTGAACAGGGGGCCACACATGAACAAGGAGGTGGGGTTTACGGCGTACAGCTGGATTAAGGAGACAGGCCAGTCTCAGTGAGAGCAGTCTCTGTATGAGAGCAGTCTTCAGACTAGGAGGGAAAGCTGTGGTGGACACTTCCTGCACACACCATTACCACCCACACCAGGACCCTGAGGAAGGCTTTGCCATTTTCCATTTGCCATTAAGCCTCACCCAGGAGCAGGTGAGGCAAGGTTTTGCCATTCCCGTGGAGCTGAGGTGGGGCGAGGCTGAGGTCTCTGGCGTGGCTGGGCCCACGTCAATGGTACCCATTCACTCAGGTGTGACTTAAAGCTTCCTCCACCCCCTTCAGGCAGAAATAGAGCAATTATATGACATGTTTATTTTTTTAATATAGGCATACCATGTACTTAAAAATAAAAATGTATAGTTAGTGAGATACTTTTATGCTTTTTCATGATGAAATTTATATCCTGTTTTCAAACTATTCAGGAAAAGTGTTCTCTAAACAATCTAAAATTAAACAACCTTTAATAGAAATCAATTCATGTTTAAGTCGTGTTTAGAAAGCATAGGATTCTTTCTAAGGATTATTATTCTAATTTGTTTTATAATTTAACCTTTTCTTTCAATACCAATGTCTCTATGCCCATGCCTGTCTGTATCATTTCTGCTCAGCCTTTATTGAATGGCAACAGGAAGGGAACCCTCCCCCCCCATTAAACCACCGCCATCGTCTCCAAGAGGATGGGCTCCAGAACGCTACCACTGTCTTTAAACAGTAACTTTCAGAACTGTGCACAGGTATTTGCTGCTTTGATAAATCAGGAAAGAAATGTTAAGGTGACTTGGGAGGAAAACATATTAAATGAAAGGAAAAAACAGATATCTCAATAATTTCCTAGACATCTAGGTGTTTTCTTTTCCTTTTAAAAACTGGGCTGGGTTTTTGTTGTTACTGTTATTTTCTGTTTTGTTTTCTGGTTTTAGGTAGTATCAAGTCTTTCATAATTGTGATGTCACATATGCCCAGTTTATCACAACTGGACCTCACCTGAGCAAGGCGCAGTCCAGACTTGGTCTACATCCCAATCAGTGCTAAATTGATGTGTTTAATATAACTAAAATCACTCAACATTTTTGTTCCTAATTCTGAAATTTACTCCTAATGCTAAAATTTGTGCCTTGTGATGCTGGCAAATCACCTTATACACAATATAATACACATAACATAAATAGTATCTCTCTCTGTATATATATATATACATATATATATATATAATAAAATGTTTGATATCAAGTGGTAGATTTATAAGCAACTAGTAGCTAGTTATAAATTTAACTGTATAAGACTTTGATTTCCCTGGGCAGTGGTGGCGCACGCCTTTAATCCCAGCACCCAAGAGGCAGAGACAGATGGATCACTGTGAGTTCAAGGCCAGCCTGGTCTACAGAGCAAGATCTAGGACAGGCACCAAAACTACACAGAGAAACCCTGTCTCAAAAAATGAAAAAAAAAGACTTTGGTTTCAGAATATATTAAAAGGATTCCAAGGGTAAGCATATTTGCAAGTTTTTTATATAGGAAATATGAAATTGAAGAAGAAAAATTAAAAGGAGAAGAGGAAGAAGAAAAAATGGCTGGCACCAATTTTCCAGTTGCTAATTACTATATTTGGTTTTGTTCAAGTTTCTTAAAAAATGAGAAATATTTTAATTAAAAAAACTAGTGAAACAAAGAAAACACTGCTTTTTATAGCAGTATAGCCTAAGAACTAATTAAAAATAGCATCAAAAAGCAAAAAGAATACAAATTGCACAGTGCTTAGATTTTCCTCAGCAGGTTGTGAGTATGGGGCAGGTTCTTAGGTGCTTCTGTGTGAGAAGAACATCTTCTCTAATGCCATTTTTTAACATCACCTTGATTAAGGTGGACGGAGCAGCCAAAAACTGCCCACAGGTACAGTCATGTAATCACCGCCATGCCGAAACATGGCACAGTCTGGTGGGTCCCCAGCTGCTCCTTACCTTTGCAGCCAGTCCACACTCCAGGTCTAGGCAGCTACAGAAGAACTGTGCCAGGTCACTTCGGATTAGGAGCAAGACTGTCTTATCTTAAGCCCAATTTCCTGATGTTGGCTTCATTGCTTAGGAGACTGAATTTTGGCTGGAATCAAGAAGGCAGAGGTGAATCATTGGACTTGATAAATTTCTTTAGGTCTGATAATTACCAGATTTTGTGGAAGCATGGTTAATCAGAAGTTAGAGGCTCATGGGTCACTTTCAGAATATAGTTAACCAATAATGAGATTTGCCTTGGAATCCAGAAATACCCTGGGAGGGATTTGGGGTTTGAAGCAGCTTTAATGAACTAAATTTTCCATGTTCTTTGAACTAGGACTTACTGTGGGTTCCAGGCTGATTCGAAGTCCTCACTTAAAGTCCTTCTGCCTCCACCTCCCAAGTGAAGAGACTGCAGGTGTCACTGCGTCTAATCTCCAAATTTTAATCCTGTACTTGAACTTGGACCCATACATTTAACCATTGCTAAAATAAAAGAGGCTTCAGTTTTATGTCACTATATATAATATAATATACTTTATGTAAAAGATAGTATATAATAGACTATACACACACATATGTATAAAACTAAAGCCTCATTGTGTGTGTGTGTGTGTGTGTGTGTGTGTGTGTGTGTGTTTCACCTGCTCACCATTCAGAATGGAGCTGGTTATCCTCCTCTGACTATGGAAACATATAGGACATCAACTCTTATTTTTAGGAAATTTTTATTGCAGACTTTCATTCTGCTTTGCATGGTGGGCACGCTCAGGAGGCCGGGCCAAGATGAAGCATCATTGTTTGGCTTTATTCCAAATTCTCTGACTACCAGACATTTGACTTCCCATGGTGAGCAGTCAAATGCTACAGTCAATCTGTAGAAGGAAGAAATAGAGTGAAATCACCTGAGCAGCATTTCATGCTTGGACCACAGCTCAGAACCAGATGTTTCCTTCTTACTCTATGTAGCTAGAGTTTTCCTGCCTTGCCCACAGTCAGGACAAATCTGTCACCCGTCAGTCCCACAGCCGCTCAAACCCAACCAAGTAAACACAGAGACTTATATTGCTTACAAACTGTATGGCCGTGGCAGACTTCTTGCTAACTGTTCTTATAGCTTAAATTAATCCATTTCCATAAATCTATACCTTGCCACGTGGCTTGTGGTTTACCGGTGTCTTCACATGCGGCTTGTCATGGCTGCAGCTGGCAGTGTTTCTCTGCCTCAGCCTTCTGCTTCCCAGAATTCTCCTCTCTCCTTGTCCCACCTACTTCCTGCCTGGCCACTGGCCAATCAGTGTTTTATTTATTGACCAATCAGAGCAATTTGACATACAGACCATCCCACAGCAGTGACCCTCACCTTTACACACTGAAATTGTGTTAAAGGAGTTTTTAACCTCTCTCTCTCTCTCTCTCTCTTTTTTTTTTTAAAGTAAGGTTTGGATACTCTACTTCTAGATCTGTCTCAGGAACACACGTCTTTCCAGCTTACATTTTTCTTTGTGATATTTAGTGGGAAAATTCTCTTTTAATCTTTCTATGGCTGTGTTTCCATTATTCTGTCTGTCGAAGTTTAATGAACGCACCTCTCTTTTAATTTCTTGTTTGGAAATTTGGGGAAATATAATTTACTTACAGCAATAAGTTATATCCCCCACCTCCATTTTTTTTTTCTTTCATAGGCAACAACTGCAACATATGCAGATTACTGAGAGAGGAAAATAAGACGTGAAAAGGTGGCTTTCTTCAAAGGCACCAGGAGCATCAGTGTCATGTCTGAAGCACCCATTTGTGTCAACGGTACAGACCTTTCAATGGAAAATTGTGCTGTGTTACCTTTCAGAGTAGGAGATGCTAATTTGGGATTTACAGTTTTTGAACCGGAGGGCTGCATTTTGCATGGGATTTTGTTTAATTTTCAGTGAAAAAAGGCATTTGAAACACAACTGCCTACAGCCAACTGTCAACAACAATCAACTGTAATAGCACAGAGCCTGTCACTGACGTGTGTGGCGATGTGGCAATCTTCTCAATTTAGCTGGATGTTTCTTCTCTGTATAAAATAGCTGAAAGTCTTGCTAGGCATTTATGAATATCGGAGGTGTTATTAGGCTGATAATGGGACCAGATTAAGGAAGTGTACACTGGTTCAAAGTGTCAGTAAAAGAGATACAAAATGGGGCAGTTCATGGTCCTCTGTAGAAGGGGCTCTGTCTTCCAGGTTCGCTCCATGTTTGGGCAACAGCTGAGTTCCCTCTGCAGTGACTTTCTGGGGGCAAATGAAGTTCTTATGCTATTTTTTCCCCTTGAAGTCTAGCTTTGTTTATCAAGAGGGTGAAATGGGAAAAAAGAAATCTCTGAAGATGGAGGTGAGAGGGGAAGGCTCTGAACATGTTCCAGGCAAGGCCAATTGGGCTTCCCTTCACTCTTTATGGAAAGCCAGGGCTAATGCCAAGCAACTGTGCCCTTGAGAATTCTCAATAACAATTGGCAGTATTGTTGGCAAATACAAGGTGAAAATAAGACTGTGCTGTACCCTGTCTTAGGAAGGACAGAGCCGACACATTATTGGTTGTCACCAAACCACCGTGGCCTGGGTGAAACGCCCTCTTTTCTCTCCCTCCCTCTTTTCTCTTATTTCTGACAGAGTATTCCTATATATCCCAGGCTAGACTTGAACTCTTGATCTTACTTCTTGACACCCAAGGGCTAGAATTATGGGCTTATAATATAGCCACACCAGCAGTTAGTCTTCTTATATAAAAGGGGTTTAGAGTGACATAACACTGTGTTTTCAGTTATCAATTTAAAAAAACATTTAAAGTTAGCCATGTTCAAATTCTGATCTGATAATTTATTAATTTTACTGTAGCTAAGTTCCTTGTCATAATGTATACAGGATATGTATTTTGTATATAATAAACATCAATTATCTATATTATTATGATTATAACTAACAAGCAACATAGTCACTAATGTATTGTAGTACTCACCACAAAATTAGAAGGGGAAATGTACTAGCAGTTAGGATTCATAACTTGCTAAAAGTGTGTTCATGTTTCCTCATCACTATGTTTTGTGTCTATGGGAAAGAAAAGTGAATCACATTAATTAAGTAACATGGAACACATTCAAAGGCACAGATAGCATGATGTCTTAAGAGCAGGAGATCAATACCCTGCTGAATTTTATGAACCGCTCACCCACTGTCCCTGTGCAACCCCTACTTTCTATATGCATGGCTCCTGTTCATTCTCCCATCTGCTTGCCTCTCCATGATGATGAGCCTCTGATAGAAGAATATGGTCAGTGATGCTTCTTGCTGCACACCAGAAAAAAGATAGTTAAGCCACTCCTCCAACCAATATTCTGTTTTATTTTTAATTCTATCACAAGCAGTGGTTAGAAATTGCCACTCTGACGCAGCACCTTGGGCTCACAAGTTTCCTAATTGGATGCGAGTGATAAACCCATTCTAATGAATGCAAAGTCAAGAAGAATTCTTCATAGAGAGATAAAGCCTCTGAGGATCTGAAGAAACTGCAGAGTTTCCATGAGAGTTAATAGAAAACCTGGAAGCTGTGGAGAGCCCTTCTTTCCCATGACATTACTGTTTTTTGCTCTGTTCCATTGGCTTTGGTAGTTTTAATTTGTGCATAACTGTGAAGACGACTGTTACCTCTCTTTTCCTTATTAACCATAACCAGGGTCTTGGGAATGAGGGATGGTAGAAAAAAGGAAGGGCAAGGAACATTGTTTCTTTCGTTACTCATGAACACGTAACAAGGTCTTTGCATACATGGTGATTGCTTCCTCTTGGGACTGATGGTCAACAAAGAACGTAAACAGATGTGGAAAGTGTGAGTTATACAATCCGAGGACATCTATGAAGGGACAGATAGGATAAAGCATGGTAGATATGCTGGAGGCTTGGTGAAGGGTTTCTTTAGCATCAAATGATTTTGCTGATTACTTGCTGATGTTTACTGAGTAAAAACTCTCATATGACCTTGATTAATTCTCTTTGTTTGTGTGATGCTGGCCTATGATGGATCTCAGATGGAGGGAGGTGTCCTCAGAGCAGCCTAAGCATGGACAGAGGTGGGTGCCAGAGTATACTCCCATATTTTATCTTCAAAGAAGAGACCAAAAAGAAAATTAGCAGATTTTGAATGTCATTGTCTTTTTCTGTGTGGAGTGGATTTGGATAGTAGCACATGAGACAACAGTGAAAGGAGCCGACTTTGCATTAGGCAACTTACAAGACTGAATTCTCTGATCTGAAGCACATGGCCACCCACCACTCACCCGGGAATCAGCAGCATTTCTGTAGGAAGTGACTCCCTGAGCCTCAACCTTCTCTGTGGATCTGGGTGAGAGTGGTTCTTCTGGACCAAAGGATGCTCTAATCTACTGCCTGCTTCTTCTAACATCGAATTTCAGCCTAATATGGACTTTTAATGAGTAGCTCATATGGAAATAATTAGTGTAAAAGAGAAATTAACTACCATTACCCACTTGCTTTTTTCTTTTTTAGAAATGATTTGGTATTCCATTTCAAATTTTTCAACTGTTTTCATGAATATATATATATATATATATATATATATATATATATATATATATGTAATAAGTGATTTCTCTTTTTTGTTCTCATTATCCCTTCTTGTTAAAATTGCATAGCTAATTTCTAGAGGTAGGCATCCCATTGAGTGCTCAGGATAGGAAGACAGAAGATTGCTGTTTGATGCCTTCAAGATCATTGAATACCCAGAATAAACCCCCTACAGGGTACCAGGCCCATAAATGTGAAAGCAAAGAGGGATCTAGAGCATTAGAGAGGCAATGCACCACACACAGGACTGCAGTTACCCAGCAGCAGAATTTATTGAGCATGGAAAATTCTGTCACTAAATAGATGAACAGTCCTCCAGAGTCCTTCCTGAGATGCCAGACAAGTGGCTCAGCGGGAGTTTTCTCTTCTTCAAGGATGCTACTTGGGAAATAGAAAAGTTAGAGAGCTCTAGGCACACTGACAAGGAAGCCTGTGGATGGACATGGCCAGAAGTTGCATGGACCAGTACTTTAAAAGTCAAGTGCTGACTGGCGAGGGTATTTCTCTAAGAGCCCTGATCTTGACATCATTTGATGATGGTACTTTTAGTTTCTTTTTCCTGAGTAAATGTGGTGATAAAAGTGCAATCACCACTGCCTCCTCTGTCCACCACAAATGACATACTATGAAACAATTGCAGGTGGACTGTGCCTCCTCACATTCCGATTTATGCCAATGAGAAAGCATGCATGTACTTCTCTTTATAAATAGGTTTGGAAAAAGCTTAAGACCTGTATGCATTTTTCTTTCTGTTCTTTCCATTTTTCTTTTTTTTTTCCTTTTTCAATACTGGGTATTGAACTCAGCATTTTGCACATGCTAAGTAAAGCACTCTGCTGCTGAACTGCCTCAGGCTGCATGTTTGATGGGACTGCAGTCTCTGACATTTGCCATACATTTACCCAACGAATGCTGATTGGGAGCCTCCTTGGCAGCAGAAGTCAGGAAGGGATGGGGCACCAAATAAAACTACCCAGTTCTTTGCATACATAAGATTCCATTTCTGTGAGGAAATCACATCCTCACATAAATAAGTTAGGTAATTACAGAATGTAATGATAGCCAGGGAAGAGAGTATAAGTAGTTAGGTTTTCTCTGTATGTTCTTTTGTTGCTCTGGGTCTTCCCCTTCCCAGCCACATTTCCAACATGCCTCCCTTACCCTCAATGTGAACAACTGACACCTTAACTTTTCCATTTTATACACACAGCTATGTAATTGTATGTTCTCCCCCATTTCCTAAGAAATTCTTGTCCTCTGATCTGTCATATATATGTGTGTATAAACATGCATATGACATAAAACATTATTTATAATATTTTAGAGCTGTCAGTGAACCCACTATCAGTGATTTGCTTGGCAAATACAAATTCTACTTTATATAATCTAGAAGCTAGAGAAGACAAGGAACTGCATTGTGGGCATTTGCATACATATCTGTATTCTTTAGAAAACTCTGACTCCTCAGAGCAAACACTAACCTGGGTCTTTTGTTCCCCATAACAGCTAACACCCTGTCATGCACATAGTAGGAACTCACCGAATAACATTTAATTATAAAAATCTGCTAGTTCTTGCCAAAGATATTAGCTAGTGCATGTTTGGAGAAAATTAACTAACAATTAAGATTTTAAAAGTCAGGATTCCCATGGATTTTGGCTGAGAAGACTCATTTTCTTACTTGTGGACATAAGGCTTTTCAGACCAATGAATCTGGTGTCTTGCAATCTTGCCAAAAAGGCCTGGTGGGTGTGAGGAAAGGGTGTGAGCTGAGTGCAGATGTCGGGGAGTACTGGCACTTGAGCATCTCTTGCCAGGACTCAAGAGATAAGCCAAGAGCCACAGAGGCTAGGTACGTCACTCATTTGAGAAGTTTCTTCAAATGGTTCCTTTGTTAGATTGTACTATGTGTAAAGTCTGTATCTGGACGTGAGTGTAGGAAGACAATTTAAGTAACCATTATTCCTTCTGAGAACTGCAGCTTAACTCATAAGCAGTAAAGGGAAGACAGTTGAGATGTTATCTGCCCTGGATTTTCCTATGACTTATTCATAGACATGTATGTGGACATACACATTAATACATATGGTAGTTTTTTCATATGTAAAGTGAATCAGAGGTTTGCTTCAGGCCTCTTGCTTTGGTGGTGGGACTAAAGGTAGCCTCAAACTGTATCTCTGAGCAGATTTTGGGGTAATGGCCTGTGGTGATATTTTAATTGTGCTGAAATGTGATTTTAATTGTATGTTAATAAATCAAGTTTGCCTGGAGATCAGAGGTCATTAGCCAGCCAGGAATAGAAGTCAGGTGGCAGTAGTCCATGCCCTTAATCTGATCACATGGCAGGCAGAGTCTCTGTGTGGTCAAGGACACAGCCAAGCGTGGTGACCCTTGAGTCTTTAATCCCACTACCAACCATAGAGAACAGGAGGTCTGTATAGACAGACAGTGACGAGGAAGTCATGTGGCTGGGCTTAGAGCCAAAGAACAGGAAAGCAATAAAACACAAGACACACAGGAAGCAGGTCTCTCTCTCAAGGGAAGGACGGCAACAAGAGGTAAGATAAAAGTAGTTGTGGCTCTTGCTCTGACCTCTTGGGCTTTTAACTCTGTATTTGGCCCTGTGTTTCTTATTTACTAAGACTGTTTACAATTTCGTCTACAATGGTCAGGAAGGCAACTGACGTGGAAAGGAAGTGTAATTGTCTTACCTCACCCAAGCTTTATGTACCTTAATCTATCTATGAGGTAAATTCCTGAGAAATTGCTAATTCACTGAGCTATTCATCTGTTTGTATGGTCAATAGATGATCGCTAAATATGTAATGTAACATGTGCTAGGGACTAGGAATATCACAGGAAATAGAAGTAGAATAAAGATAAAATCTATAGAGAAGTGAATTTTAATCAAATTGCCCCACCAATATACCATTGTATCTGTGACAAAGACCAAGTACTTAATATTGTGAGAGGTTGTAGCAGAGGCATCCAGCTGCCCAGGGAGCCTTCCTTTACAGAGCCTGGTTTTGCTCATAGAATGCTTTTTAGGGAGCTTGTATGGCAAGTGTGTATTCACCCTCCATCTTGTCTTTTCCCTCCAGGTCAATGTGTATACATGACTTAATCTGACTGGATCGATTGTCCCACTTTTTCTTTCTCTCTCCTGGTATGTATGTATGTATGTATGTATGTATGTATGTATGTATGTATGTATGTATTTCATACCATCAGAACTATTTTAATGGAGACACGTTTGCTCAGCATCTTGAGGAAATGCTGAGAACTGCATCCTGAATGCAATGTCTCCAGTCACTCACTGGACGCTGGAGGATGTTGTCAATGAGCTGGAAAACAGAGCTGAAAGATGGATCAGTAAACTTGGCTTTTATGTTGCATGGTCCTATTTTGAACTGCATTCTATTAAAATAGAATGCACTGGAGGCAGAGTGATGTGTGCTAAAAAACAAGGATTCAGCTAGCCCTAACAGTCACTCACAGAAGACTTTGCATAATTGATAGATCTTCCCTGAACCTCAGTGACTCTATCTGCAATATGGGAATCATAATTCTACCATTTTGTAGCATTTTCTAAAGTGGTCAGTAAGGTAGATAGCGTAGTTGAAAGCTCAGACACTGCCTTGATTTAGTAAGAGGATCAGTAAATCTTTGTTTCTTTCCTCACCTTCATGGATCTTCTTAACTGCTCATGGGTTCATTTATTGTAATTCTGCCATGTTTACAATTTCAAAACAGGTATGCTTTACCACGGAAAGATGCTTGAGGGAAAAATTAAGGAAGAGTTTCTCTTCAGATGTGGAGAAGGTGAGATGTCCAAACCCTAGTTCATAGTAAGATTCTACCAAAGAGGGAAGCGGAGATGAATGTGTATTAAAATGAGTCAAATCATGAGCAGGCTATGTGAGTTAGACACAGATGAGTTCATTGTTTTGCTTTAAACATATTTCCTGAAGAACGGGAGCCCTGTAACAGCACACATCGTTATGTATTTTAGACAAACAGCACTCTGAATCAAATTATGGTACATGCATAAAATATTAAAATAAGACATTTATAACAAATCTTTCTAACTTAATGCTTAGCTCTAAAACAGATTTATATATGGGTAAGCAATAGGTGTGATAAATGCAGTACAGATATCACAATTTAAATTGCAAATCAAGCGGGCATCATTGGAAGAAAAGAATGCTATCCTGAAGTACTGAAGAGATAGACCCAGCTTTGCATATTTTAAGGCTACTACCTGGTTCTGTTCAGTGCTGTGTCTGGATGCCATGTTTGAGAATTCTACTATCTGTCCTTGGTGTAATGTCTTGCAGTCTCAGTTTAAATTATCTGATTAAAATTTCCACACATTGTTCTTTTGGTTGATGGTTGAACTTTTGCTAGTGCATACTTCCTAGAGGCTTCAAGTCATCTCTGTTGGGTGGGAGACTTTGGGAAAACATTGCTACTTTCCAGTTTAAAAAGGCAAATGCAATCCTCCTCCTGTGCTTACCTCTGCAGCTCACCTGGGCCATGGACTCTGGTTCTTCGGTGGGTTTTGAAGAGATGTGTGGTGAATGTGGCAACAATTTGTCTCCAGAAACGATCCATGATGAAGGTTATTAAGCTTGTTTGATTTATTTTGTACCTCTTTGGGGCTTTCATGTTGAATGTCAGCAGGACTGAACACTTCTGGGCTGCATGGCCTGCTAGAATACAGTAGGAGTCCCAGCGTGATGGAAACCCTGAGGTATCCCCACAAAGAAGCTGTAATTTGGGATTTATAAGGTGCCCCAAACTTAGGGAAGAATATCCTCTACTCTCGCCATCACTGGACATGGAAACAGGAAGCTAAGTCTTTCCAAGCAGGCACTCTAAGGATCAGAGGCCTGTGAGAGGAAAGGAGAGAGCTAGGCAAAATGTTAAAACAGTATTTTTCAAAGCTGACAACTTAAGATACGTCTTAGATACGTCTTTTAGCCCCATTTTTCTCACAGTCAGTGAACTGAGACTGTCCTCCTAAGCAAGCAATAGAGCTGTTTTACTGGGAGCCTGTCTCCTTTACCTCATTGGTACTTGGAGCGAGTCCCCTTCCAATCCAGTGTGAACTTTTCTCCACAGAGGAAGTCTGAATACGTGCACTTTGAAAACTGTGTGACATTAAATTTTGAAGGAAGGTGTACTCATCTGGTGCAACTGGCTTCTCCGTCTTCCTCTTTCCTACTCCACTTAGCCCAGTTGTTCTCAAAACACTTTAGTGGTTTTTTAAAAACACTGAAGCTGGGACTGGAGTGATGGCTGGTCCGTCAAGAACACTGCTACTCTTCCAGAAGATTTGGATTTGATTCCCAGCACCCACATGGTGACTCACAGCCGTCTGCAACTCCAGTTCCAGGGAATTCTGTGCCCTCCTCTGGCTTCCACAGGAAACCTGGAAAACATGCAGGTAAAACATCCACACACATTAAAAAAGTAATAATATTTAAATTGTTTTTAAAAACAATGAAGGGAGAAATGCCTTTTATTCTAGATTATGGGTGGCAGCCAGCCAATCATTCCAAAAAAGAAAAAGAAAGCCTGTATATATCCTGGTAAATTTTACTCTCTCTCTCTCTCTCTCTCTCTCTCTCTCTCTTTCTCTCTCTCTCTCTCACACACACACACACACATTTACCTCCATTTAAGTAGGTAAGTATAAATCATAATTAGGAAGAAATTAAATGTAAGCAAATCCTGCACTATCAGATGTTTCTTGGTGCTAAGGTGTGTCAGTATGGATCACCATGTTTTATTCCATTGAGCGTCAAGCACAATGAAACAGAAATGTAGTATTAAATCGATGGCACCCATCAGTTCCATTAGTCATGTGTCCTTGGAGTGTAGCTAATCTCAGTGGAGTATCACTACAAATACAAAACACATGCCAGGGTGGAAGCTATAATACAAAACATGATACCTCATGGACTTTATAGAGATAACATCCCAAAGTGGCATTATTTGGGATATGTTAGATTAAATAGCATACATTATTAAATCAGCTTCCCATGTGTGATGGTTAATACTACCAACTTGACAAGACCCAGGATCACTAGAATGTGAGTAGGGTATGTTTGTGAGGGAATATTGAGACTAGGGTAATGGAGGGAGGAAGACCCACTGTAGTGGGCAGCCATTCCAGCTTTGATCTGGAAGTTCCAACCCCCATTGAGGCTTCGGTAACTGTCACACCTACAACGCAGGGCTGAGAAAGGACACTGAAGACCTGGGTTCCAGATACAAGGGCTCTCTTGGTTCCTGGACCCTGGATGCTGGAGGTAGACTGAGCAGAGTTCCCCAGAGAACACCGCCAGACTGCACCGTGCCTTTCCCTGATTCTGTAAACTATCCATTCACTTGTAAGTTACCCCACAAAATAAACCTCCCTTTTAACTATGTGGAATGGCCTTAATAATTTCACCAATTCTGGTGCCCAACGTGGGGCACGAACCCATGACTTTGAGATTAAGAGTCTCATGCTCTATCGACTGTACCTTGAATGTGGGGGCCACCATGCCACATGTTGGGAAAACAGGCTAAGAAGGAGAAAGCAAACTGTGTATTCACGCCTTTCTACTCCCCGATTGCAGGCTCCATGAGACGAGACACTCTTGCCATCATGACTTCCTGGACATGGCAGTCTATACCCTGGAACTATTAACTGCAGAGGAACCCTTCTTTAAATTGCTTTTGTAAGCATCACAGAAACAGAAAAAGTGATATATTGTATTTCCTTTCATTTCTTTAAAATGTGGCTGCTTGAAAATTCAGAATTGTGTGTGTGGCTCACATTATAATCCTACTGATGGGGGTGACCCAAATTGATGTAAAATTGTGTGGAACTGATTGTGGCATTTGGCCACTCACAATGGTTTTTATAGTATACTGGGAACTCAGCGCGAATGCCTAAAGTGACCACTTGATGAGGACTCCCAAATGATGAGTAGCCACTACTAGTGTACCTTCTTAGTGAGTTTGGATTTTTATTTTTACTACAGGAAGATTTGCCAACTTTATCATTTTTTTCCCATTCTCTACTTTTGGCTTTTCATGAGATGCATGTACCTATTTATCCTGAAGGGGAGTGACTTGTTGAATGTGTTTGGGAGCTTTGGACTTCAGGTCGCCTGTGCTCAGTACCAGCACTTACTTGTGACCTATATAGTCACCACCTCTCTTACATGGAGTTTCCTCATCTGTGAAACAGAGCAGTAGCTGACAGCTCTCGGGAGAGTAACAGCGTTTTGTGAGGTGACACTATACCGTACTGCAAATGTGGGCTGTGCCCAATGAAATGGATCCCCATCCACATCCTTTATTTTCTTTTAAGTGAGACCAATTTTGAGGACACCACAACTGTATCACTGATTGGTTTTTTAAATGTGAAAAACATTATTCCCAATATTATGCACAGGTTTGAAATACCTATATACACAATGCACTAGTGTAGAGAATCACCCCCACAGTGCTCACCTGGGCATCTTTGCCCTGCTCTTCTTCATGCTGAAGACTCTGCTGCCCTCACCCTTCCCATCACGCAAGGCCCAGTGCCACCACTTTGTATCAGCTCCTTGACAACTCCAGACAGCACCAGTTTACCAACTTGATAGAATGTATGGTCGAGGCAATCCCGTTCCAATCGAATGGTAAATATGTACCTGATGCTCCATATTCTGAGGTTGAACTTCAAGCTCCCACATTTGGTTTCTTCATCCAGCTACAATGAAAATAGTAGCTGAGCCTTGTATCTCCTTTATGACCCCCAAACATCTTGCTCAAAAAATAACTGTTGATTGATTGATAAACAAAGGCATGACTACTAGAAAATTCTTTAATGTAGCAGTAATTATTCATGATAGAGGATGCCTCAGCATGAAATATTGCATGCTGTCTTTACAGGTCTCTGTAGTGAACAATGAGCACACATGTCACAATTGAAGATTGCCATTGTATAAAATCTCCATCGTATTTAACTGTGTAGTTTTAGGAAATGTCTGTGTTAGTAGAAAAAGGTGATGCAAGTCCATTTAAGACATATATCTATCTATAATTATATCCCAAATTTGAGGCTAATGTCTATATTTATATTTCTGAAATAAATATTTATATATCTTGAAGTTTAGATATCTATGTACAAATACATCTAGACATTACTAGCTCTTTATCCCTTTACATAAATTCAAAAAGACCTTTCTCCTCTGTCAATATAGATAAAGATATAGATAAATAGATATAGCCAGACCAGGGAAGTACTCAGTTTCTGTTTGTAGTCTTCTCTCAATAAGGCAGTGGGACATTGGTACTTTCAACTGAGCTTAGAGATATTGAATATGGCATTCATGTCATTAAAAATAGTTAACAGTACTTGGCTACATTCACAAAGAAGTCCCCTAATGCTTCCTTTAATTGGCAGGATCCACACGTGGTATCTATTTGCAAATGTGCTCAGCACTGAAGGCTGGAGCTGTGTGTGTGTGTGTGTGTGTGTGTGTGTGTGTGTGTGTGTGTGTGTGTACATGCTCTCTGTAGGCAATAATCCACCCTGATCAGACAATTGGTGTATTGTACTAGGACACACTGTGGGCAGACAATGCCTCTCATACCACCCCCTCATACATTTTTTTTTAAACCCTGAAATATGGTTGATATGGTCCATTGCAAAATGAACCTATATTGGAAATGGCAAAATTGTAATGTAAAATATACTGGGGTCAGTGGGGTGTGCTGGTTTTTGCATATATTTTTTCTCCCCTGACCCATGCCATTCCTCTGCATACAGGGGAAAAAGCTTCATCTCACACAGAAATGTGATGTCCTTTACTGCCAGAGGCTGTTGCTGTTTTAAATGAGGAAAAAGCACAATGCATGAAGAAGGAAAATTAAAGCATATTCATTTTGGAAATTAGATATGGTGTCAGGAGACTCTCAGAAAATAGCCCCGTTTGAATGGAGCCCTGCACTACAAGACAGTTCACTGAACTTCTGACCACTATTTATGCGATGAAAGCTTTTGAAATAGGGGAGGGTGCAAAACACTTCAGAGCTGCTTAATAACTCGGTTCATTTTTCTTTCTTCCTTTTTCCCCACCAGACATTTGTCTGTCCCTTTGGTATATATAAGATATGCAAACACTATGGTTTATTGGCAGGCCTTTGTGTTAATATGTCCAGGCTGGTTCCAAAACACTCAGCCACTGGGTGAATCCCCAGGCTAGGCCTGTGACCTTCCTTACCCTCCATAGCAGCCTGCTTTCTTCCTGTGGCTAGTGTGGAATGGCTATCCCCAGTCAGACTGTGTAAGCCTTAGGAGTGACAGTGACCTTTTTAGGGGTCATTCTACAAATGCAAAGAGAATACCTTTTGCAATTCCCAAGGATGCTTTATGCAGAATTGAACAGGGATGGGGGAGATGATGGAAAAGGCACTTTGCCTAATTTCTCCCTTTCCATTATTTGGAAGAACAGTTCTCAATTTGTGATCATCCCCTTTCTGCTTCACTGCCTCCCTCCTGCAGAGCACATCACACCAGTCAGGTTAAGTGGGATTCAAGGGCCCTCCAGGAAGAAAAGCCCAGAGTTTTGATTCAACTCTGAATAAGGCAGTACCTGGGAAGATGAGGCAGATAAAGAGTTAATCTTGAGTATAGGGTGGGGTCGATTAGAAGTAGAAGAAGAAATGCAATTTGAATTAATGAAAAATATGCTTTAATTATTATATAGACATGAAGCTAAATATTACAAATTTCAGATTGTGAGCCCATGTTGGCTTTATTATTTTTATTACTGTTCATGCAATGATATCAAATGGAAAGGGTCACTATATTTGTTTGATTTGTATTAATATGTTCAGGCTGGTTCCAAAACACTCAGCCACTGGGTGAATCCCCAGGCCAGGCCTGTGACCTTCCTTACCCTCCATAGCAGCCTGCCTTCTGCCTGTGGCTAGTGTGGAATGGCTATTCCCAGTTTTCTGGGAAAATGAAGACTTCATTTCTAAGTGACATGCTTTTCTGTTGCTCCTTGGTAACTTGTCCACGCGGGCACAGGTTGAGTTGTGCCTCTCTCAGGATCTAGGGGTACCTTGCACTGTTTCTTTCTGGTCCTTATTGGGCTTGATTCTCACAGCTTTACCCTTCATTCTGCTCCCGGGTTAATTAGTCGTCCTCAGTTTCACTAAAATGTAAAATGATGTTGAGGTTTTATTGGTGGCTGAGGTGGGGTGAGGGCAAGGGATTCCAGGGAAAGGCATAATAATGAGATCTCTCTATGC